ACAGAGTGTGAGCAACTGAAAGGATGACATGTGGTTCTGATTTTAAACGACAAAAGAGGGCCGTTCTGTTTTGGTTTTTTTTTTTTTTTTTAGCAAATTAAAAAATAAATCTGTGTAGAAACTGAAAGAATCTAGTTTGGATGCAGCCCTATTGAGCTGCAGTTATTTGCATTGTCTTGTTAATGTGTGATGGTTTTGTGTCCCAACAGCCAGCTTGGTGCTGCCTATGTTAGTGCAACTACAGGAGCTGTGGTCACTGCCCTGGGACTCAAGTCTCTCACCACGGTAACGACTGGTTTAGTCTGCTTTTTCCTTCCAGTTAAAATGACACCAATTTCTGCAAGTGTTTTTTTAACTGTCTATTCAACTGTCTGTGCTTCCCTGTCTTCACAGCGTCTCCCTCCAATCGTCAGTCGTTTTGTCCCCTTTGCTGCTGTCGCTGCTGCTAACTGCATCAATATTCCCTTCATGAGACAGAGGTGAGAACTTGACAGAACTCCTGATCGTGTTTTGCATTTCAAACTAAAACCTTAGAGAACTTTGTTAGCCACTGTCACATCACTCTTGTTTTCCTTTCTTTCCGTTCTACCAGGGAGTTGAAGTATGGAATCCCAGTGACTGATGAGAATGGAAACAGATTAGGGGAATCAGCTAATGCTGCTAAGCAGGCCATCGTGCAGGTGGTGGTGTCCAGGATCGGCATGGCCGTACCAGCAATGGGTAATGTCCTCATAGCTTCAGGGTTTATTGACCCATCAGAGACTAGTCTGCTGTTCAGCTAAGAAAGGACTTCCTCTCCATTCAGTGTTTCTCATTTAATGATCCAAAGCAGAGGCAGTAAAACCAATGAACTGACACGTGATACTGATCTTTATTCTGGACATGCACTACGCACCTTTTCCAGTCTTTAAGCAGTTTTAAAAAGACTTGGAGTAAACACTAAAAGACCGGTTTCTGATGTTGTATCTTTATTTTTTCTGGCAGCCATTCCTCCTGTCATAATGAATGCCCTGGAGAAGAGGGCTTTCATGAAGGTAAACACACTGCACACAGGGTTGTCGTGTCATGCTCTGTTTTTTGTGTAAAGTCTGGTTTCACTGCTGAAAAATGTCACACAAACCTGTCATTATGTTTTTCTATCTGCAGCGCTTTCCAATACTTAACGCGCCGATCCAGGTGGGACTCGTCGGTCTGTGGTGAGTTTATTGGGCAAGATCCTTCAGCAAAGATCATTTAGAATTTGAAATTTGCAAATATGGAACCGTTTTTGTCATTTATTGAAACTTGAACCTCAATCATCTCTTCACAGCCTGGTGTTTGCAACTCCTTTGTGCTGCGCCCTGTTCCCACAGAAGAGGTAAACACTACTTCTAAGACAGTACCCTGATTTAATATTTTGCCATAAACCAGTGGTTCCCAAACTGAACAGAAAAGAAATTTAAAAATGACAAATGTATGGAATTTCTCCCACTTGTGGTACAAGTAAGGAAAATATTGTAAAAGTAAATTCACACCTTGAGTGGCCAAGAGGGTCCTGCCCCTCACTTTGGAAACCACTGTCAACTGACAGAATTTATTTTAATTCTTTCTCCTCCGTCTGTAGTTCTATGAGTGTGAGCGGACTGGAAGCAGATCTGCAGGAGAGGTTACGACAGACCAGTCCTCAAATCACCACCGTTTACTTCAACAAGGGCCTGTAACTGCAGCTGACACACACTCCTACACACACATGCACACACACAGGGCAGGCAGACACTCACAGAAACGCACACGTCCCCTGTCTTGTGGGCACAATTTAGATGGCAGAAACACTTATTTATGCAATTTCTTTGTGTTTGTGTTCTGCTAAATGTTTTATGTTGATGTTTTTGTTTGTTTGTTTGACTACATGGAGCTGCTCAAAGTGTGAGGGTTACTGATGACAAGTATTTAGTAAAAAAAAGGGGAAATGAGACACTGAAATGAAACACTCTATAGACATGAGCTACTTACCTTGTTGTAGTGTTTTTTGTTGTTTTGTTTTTTTTTTTGTTATTTTCTGGTCAAAACTCCTAGACGTCATGTAGTGGAATTTGTAACTCCTAATAATATTGGCTAATAACTAATTATCTATTCTGGTTTAAATTCAAATATTTTATGCATCAAAATCCATCTTAAAATTTAACAATAGTTTCAAGTGTTCATTTTAAGATGACACAGTGAAAACACATTAGAGACACATTTATGTCTCTAATGTTAACAATGCATCTGAACTAGAATTAATGGAATGTTAATTAGGGCTCAATAATCCAGACTCTGGTGATTCATTTCTTTTTGTGTGGTTTTTCTGCTTTGCTGTCGTCCTCATGTGTCCAATCTTTTTTTTTTTTTAAGTGTTCTTATGCAACTCTGTCTCTTCAGTCCTTGAGAAAGAAGAGCTGGGTTTATGTGACAAAAGTGATGGTGAGTCTAGTAAACACAGTCAGATGGTATATTAGTGTAGAAGGAGGATATTGTATTGCAATCACTTTATAAACTCCAGACCTCACTCACTTGATCTCAGTGGAGTATTGATGAGCTTCTTATTGTGGTAGTTGGTGCTGTAAAGACTTGGATCGGGATCATAGTTCAAACGTGTTTTATTAGGGTTGGTGCTTCAGCAGGTTCTTATATGTACAATATGCAGGACGTCAATGTTCGTGACAATTTAGTCAAAGTGTCTTCTCCTCCTGAAGTTTAAAATAGCCATGCATTCATATACAGATATATAGCATAATTATTTAAAATACATAAACTCCCATTGATGCCAGACAAGATCTCCCTCTTGTAAAAGGAAATCATATAAACTAATGTTCCACAACCAGAAACAAAATACTATTTTGCAAAAAATAAGTTGTCGAATAATTACAGGTAGGGGTTAGCATTGCTATAGGTAACAAACTAGAATCACTTTAGCTTTCTATTATTTAACACCGTGGACATTATACTAGTAGTTTTCATAGAAATCCTGCATGTCAGCTAATAACAATAATAATAATAATCAAAGTTTATTTGTCAAGAGGTGTTGTCGAGAAGCAGGGTATTTAATGTGATGCTACATCTAGCTCTTTGCTAACCTGGAAGGTGGTGATGGTGATGCTAGCCAGCCATTGATGTTTTGTTGTACCAAATAATAAAGGCAGTGTTTTTGGACAGGTAGAAAAAAAAATGCTTATACTTTGCACCAGCTCTATCGATGCTTCCATTATGTGGACAGATTCGGAATTGCGGCTCAAACAGGCCCAGTTTTATAAACATGCTTCAAATATGTATGCAAAAGTGTTAGGTGGGTGTGTACATTTAATACCTGTTTTATGAAGCTTTTTTTTCAGTCATTTTAAGAAAATTTAAAAGAACCAGAAGTTGAATTTACAAAACGTCTAAATTAATAAATATAATGTTGTTGAATACAATCGTCTGGTTCTCTACATTAGCCTAAAATACTATAAGTTAATGTGTACACACCTGCCTGAAACACACAGCGGTGTAGCTGACCATTGTAGATTCATAGTCATATACTCTACAAGTATGTGCTTTGTCGTTCACAGTTAATCTATATTTTTTCCTGAAAATTTAAAATATATGTGTTTAAATAATAAATATAATTACACTTTAATATACCAAACGTGCGTGAGAAATGCCGGGGATCTTAGCTTGAATGCACAACAACCAGAGGGCGCCAAATACGCATAAAATAATCACGATTCTTTGTCGTTAGAGATTGTTCAGTCCGTTGTTCTACTTGAAGTCACTGAAGTCTGAGTTTGTACAATCATTCAGCCGATGTTACGTGATTGTAGCAGCTGTACATGGACCGATGTTTCTATGGAAAATCTTTGTAGACACAAATGAATGCACAAAAACGTCCTTTTGCTTATTCCAAAATTGTTACTTTAAAGTTATTTACTTTGTCCTTTCCACCAGAAGTTACTCTTTTCAAGTGTTTATTGATAAACTCTTTGTATAAGAAGAACTTAATATCTGACCACATTTACACTCAACCTCTGCGTTGCCGGGTCAAACTGACGATGCGTCACTGAAGCGTGATCACATGCACTGCTGCAGGACAGTGGTTCACACCAACTAACTCCACTCCTCACACACATTTATTTGTACATACAGAAAGTTATCGTGTGCTGTTTGTTTCCTGCTAAGGGTGTAAATGCACAATATAACCTTGTCTGTGCTTCTGTAGGTGGATTGTTGTTGCTTTAAAAGAGGGTGTATTGAGGATTGGTTTACTGTTTGTGTATTGTGCTGAATAATGAGTGAGTCTAGTTACTGCTAATCTAAACAAATTTACTATTAACCAGCATTTGTTTTTATTAACCAATGACTCAGTATTTGACTGTGTTTCTGCCGTTTTGAAATGTCAATAAATGTCAAGAACAAAACTGATGGTTATAGTGTGGGATAAAAAAATAAATTGTACATGGGTTTAAATACAAGTTTTTTCTTATTTCTCAAGCTTTTAAAATAGAAATCTTTTATTTTTTTTACAAATGTCAATTCAAAGTTGGCTTCAGGGACTTGAACTGAACTGAAACTGGAATTATAGGGGTCTTCATCCTTGTCACTTTTTTTCTGTTCTGACTTTCACTTGAAACTGTTTTATCTTCATTTCTAAGCTCCTGTGACTCAGATTCTGGAATATTATTTAGTGACTTGGACTCATCCCGACTCCTTGACAATACTCTCTCTTAGCCTTTGTGAACCAGATGGTTTTTCAAGGACCATATGCCCCAGCCAATTTGTCAAACATGTCTTTTGCAAATTAATGTTTTGTTGCAGCAGTTTCCCCCAGAGGTGAACATCTGGTTGAAATCATAAATCATTATACGTTCAACAATGAAAACAGAAGCAAGAGTAAGGATCCAGTGATGAGGTTTTTATTGTCTGCAGCTACTCCTGGCACACGAAGGTACAAACGATATTTCTTTCATGCAATATCACACCAACACCTGTCTCTGGAAGTACAACTACTCCTCTGCAGCAACAGCAGCTTCTAAACATTTGTGTGTTTGAGCCTCAGACCTGAGTGACCCAGTGTTGAGTTTACAATCAGGTCGTCATAATCACACAAACGCCTGTGTGCCCCGTGTGTAACAGAAGGAATATTCATGCATCAGAACAGGAGAAGAAAAAACAGGCAACAAGATCAAAGGATGAATCCTAATTCAAGGGTTCTAAAATGTTTCTTCAAGCAGGATTTCATCTTAATATCGTTGGTTGTTTAACACCTAAATAAATGCTGCCCGTTTCTTCATACCCGTGTTTAACAAACAACAGCTTTTGTTGTGTGTGTGTGTGTCACAGCTTGTTAAATCATTGTGACAAGGTTATTATAATACCAGTACTTCAGTGAGGGATGGACATGACAATAAAACCTTAAAAATAAATCTCTAAATTCAGCACGTGAACATTTTGTACAGAAAAAAAATTACTCAAGGGGACCAATTTTCTTCACGGCCGCCAATATATCTGCAGGCTTCACCTTATTTCCAAACTCTTTCTCACGGTGTTCCAGGAGAATTCCCTGCAAAACATAGCAATTTGTTAAAAAGTTCAGACGCCTGCTTCGGTAACCTGCACCAAGATGAGTCTTGTTTCAGAACCGCACCTGATCTCCAGGTCCGATGACAAACACCCCACCCAGGATGAAGCCCTCGCCGTTCGTGTTGCCCTCATAACCAGATCTCCAGGCTCTGATGAAGTTCTGCCACACACTGAGGCGAAGGAACCCGAGAAAGCCCATCTTTCTCTCCAGTGGACCGTAGAAGAATTTCTGCAAACACATTTAAAATATTTGATGGATGCAGGTAACAAATAGTCATTGGTCAACTTTTTTATTTTCCTCATTTGACACACTCCAGCCCAGTTTTTACTTTACTATTGTTAGCACCCCACCACCAGTTAAAAGATATAGACCTGCAGGAATTTTGTATTTTGTTAAATAAAATTAAACTTTTCCTTCTCCCCAGCAGGGGGGCTGTGAACATATTCCACAGACTTGTTTTACATAAATCTTATCTCATTCAGTTAAAAACAGTTTTTCAAAACAGTGTGATGTCATCGCTCACTCCTCACCTTTTCATCTACATAGATGTCCCCAGCGAAGAAAGGTCGAAACTGCGCGACCTCTGGCTCGATATTCTCCTTGATCACAGCGACCAGAGGAACACCGAGCTCTTCAAGCTGGGATTTCAGAGAGGACAGCTCAGAGGCCTCCTACAGACAGAGAGAAGTGAAGTCAAAACTTCAAGTTCGGTAAGAAAGCCTCTTCTCTAAAATTAGAAATCTCCGCCATCACCTCTCTGCACAAAAATCATCCAGGCCTTCGTACGGCCATGACCACGGCCCCGTTCTTCTCCCACAGACTCCGTGCCTTGATAACAGTGTCTGCAGACACAACAACATTCCAGCTGTTACATGTTAAACCAAAACACAAAGGATATCATGCAGTACACAAACACAATGTCCATGACATGAGAATCAGGGGGCCTTCACAGTTATGTGAACGACTGGGGTGTGCACAGGTCAGAACTGTAATTTTACCAGTTTAAGTTTTTCTGTCAGAAGCCAAAAAACATTGTTTTACATGTTCTTCAGGCTTACGTTCTTCAGGCTTTACAGCGTTACCATGCCAACTGAACTGGAGATAATGCAGTGTTTGTGTCTTTCTTTTGGCCCCTGCCATACCTACACCATTTACCATAATCTAATTCTGAAAAAAAATGATCCTCATCTCTTCATGGTCATACTGTCTAAATTTGAAGCAGATTTGACTATAGCCGGAGGAGGACTTAGCGGTCGTATTAGCCATGTAAATCTACCTGTAGTTTTTCTACATGGCACTGTGGAGCCATTGTGGTCTGACTACAGCTCAAACCCACAGTGCAGCATATTTTTATCATGTGCTGAAATTTATTCAATATCCATATTTTTATTATTAATCAGGACCTATAATGTTACTTGTCTATTTCTGTTGAAGCTTAAAAAAAAGTTTTTGCAGCATTGATGAACATGTAAAAGTTTGAAATATTTACTATAAACACAGGGGCTCAGCTTCAGGCAAAGTGACCTAATCTGGAACAGCCGATAGTTGAAAGCAGCTTTGCCTCACATTCTTATACAAGAGATCATTTAGTACATACAAAACACAGCCTTCATTCAAATGTAAAATGGAAACACCATTAATTGTGAATTCTTGTTCCTGCATTTTAATGCTCTTTCTAATAGGGTTAACAGCTGCCGGTGTTTAAGACTATGAACGTGTGTGGGTTTAAGTTAGAAAAGCAGCCAACAGACACTCAGCCTACCATCTGTGGTTGATCTCAGATCAGCATCCTGCAGGTATTCTGTTGATGCTTTGGCAGGTTTAGGTAGACACAGATCAGTGTTTGCTAAGAAGATTCCAGCCAGGGCAGCGCCGATGGCACCCAGACCCAGGGACCACATCCCCATCGTTAACGCCTCAGAAACAGAGGAGACTGCAGCAGAAACAAAACAACAACATGAGTGGAAATGTATCAAGGCAAAGATCATTTTATGGCTGTGTCCTTTCATGCACTGGGGCTTTGATGTTCATACACACAGATCAACTACAATTCTCTACAACAAGCTTGTCATTGTAGCTGGTGTCCCAGGGTCGGGGACACTGTGCTCTTGCCTGAACTGGGCTCGTTTGCTTTAGGACTGGATCTGCGTTCACGATGGTGAAACAGGACCACACCGTTTCCTAAAAACTGGGGTCTGGCTGAGGCTGAAGAGGGCTGGATTCTACCCAAACAGAGGAGAAAGGAGCGTCGGGAAAGAGCCCACCTCAGAGATGAAGTGTATTTACAAAGAGCCAGCAGGGAGGCCATGGGGAAACTCTCTGACCTTGACTACAGAACCCTTCACCATTTCACTGAAAGAAATCAACAGACATCTCAGCTAGGGACAGCAAAGCAGCAAGGGAAAGAAAAGCAGCCGTGGCTGAAGCAGACTGTCAGAGTGGGAGAACAGTTAGGAAACAGATGATACATGACATAGTGCAAAACCTGTGGTCAGAATTGATGGAATGACACATCTGCTCTTGCAAATAAGAGTTTATTTGCAAGAGCAGATGTCATTACATTAAAAGAAAACATTTAGCTCCTATAAAAAAAGTTTCATCTGGAAAAAAATGTTAAAAAAGATAATACTGCAGAATAAAAAAAAAACATGCACAGTAAATGTGAACAGTTTTTTTGGTAAGCTCTTTAAAATGTACATTTTAAATGATATTAAACTTAACAATAGTAACATAAACCACTAACTTGTTTCCAAATCCATGTCCCAGGTCTCAGATTATGTCTCCTTCAAAGTTATTTTAGAGGAACTGGTGAAAAATGCAAACAACACCAGCAAAGATAGAAGAAGAGACAGACAGACACAGAGAGAGAGAGAGAGAGAGAGAGAGACAACCCCCTGAACACGTATCTGAGAAACGATAAGTGGGAGAAAAAATGCAAACATCACAAGTAAACAGTGACAGAGAGCGGGGGAGGAACACACCCAAACGCAAAGACATTTGTGCCTCATTTATTTCAACATTGTCACATTTGACTTGACTCACTGCCACCTAGTGGTTCAATTTTGTGCCCAAAACGTCAACGTTAACAACATGCAACAGTACAGAATGCACTTTAAGTGAGTGAAGGCATTTAGACTTGATGGTTTATAACGCAAGCATATTTGTGCTTAACGAGTGTGGGACACATCGTGTCTATGTATGTATGTATTAACGTTATTTTTTGCGATGAACATTTTGCACTCCTGGTTACCTTTCAAATGTACGCATGCCATAGTCAAACATATCTGATTCACTGGAGCAGCGTTGTATTTGTTAAACAAATACAAGTACACAGAAGCCGATGTATCACTTGTAGAAGATGTATCACTTCCAGAAATAGTATTCAAACTTAATCAAATGTAGTTCGTTTTCTTTCTTTTTTTAAAATGCGAAAACTACTAATGATGAAGGAAGTAGGGCCATGAACACAACCAAGGTCTTGTGACCTCATTTATTTCAGTTATTCATCGATGATCACAATCGAAATTCGAACAACTGCGCCTCAACTCTACAGCAGAACCGTGACATGTTTACGTTCATCAGCCATGTTAAGTGACGACGCAGCTTCTGTAACAAACACATACGGTCAGTGTCCTACAGACTGCCACTGCCTGCTGTTTGTTACCGGTAGTAATCTAGACTAGAGGATTATAGCAAACGTCCTTAGATTACCGTGTTAAAATCAGAATCTGAAACAATTCCCTGGCGCGACTGCACGCATTCGCATTGTCATCATGTTGTTAAAAAAACACGTATATTTACACTCACCAAAATCAATGAAGCGACATTGAACGTCTCAATGCTCCTGCGTTTTTAAACCACAGAGGCGCAGGACTAGTAATCAAACCATTCAGGGAAAACTAATCGAGCGAGGCATCCTGACCGTGAAGGTAAATATTAAACAAACATTGACAAATGAGAACAGAAAGTTTACACTTGCTTATTAATTTTACGTATTTGTTTTTATTTCCTTAGGTGTAGACATTGGGAGACAGTCGTGTTTAGTGAAGTAACATTTACTCTCACGATGTACGTTTCTTACACTGGACACGGAGATACTGTTTACTTTAGTAAGAAAAAAAATCAGTTACAAAGTCTTTTAGCTGCTAAACTAAGACAAACCGTTTCACCGAGACAAACAGAAACTCAGGTGTCCCCCCACCGCTCCTTCATCCCCACAAAACAATTAATTTTACATTTGTTTTTTCCCCTTGTATGCATTAAAAAGTAAAGGATCCGGTACATTGTCAGTAAATGTTATAATATGGTGTTTATTATGTCCGAATTGTTTTGTACTGCAGTACAAAACCAAAGTACCGCGTGGGAACCCTTAACTACAAACGGACAATTTCTATATCCTGACCTTCTTGCTAAGTTGCATTAGCTACCATATAACCACCACTCCGGGGGCCTTATTGGGGTATGAATTGTGTGTTTTATTTTACAACATTCAAACAGGAAAAATATAAATAATGATATTTTGGTGCCGTTTATTCCCATTGTGTCAGGTAAAATCCATCCAGTTTTGAAGTGGAACATGGGTTAGTGTGCAGACATCAGAGCTGTTCTCTCTCTCTCTGGAGATTTTTAAACAGATCCTCATAAAACACACTCAAAACCATCACAGTAAAACTGTTACAGAAGGAAAGTGTATCAGAAAATAAGTTGTATTGCATAACTCATTGGGACATTAGTCAGAATATGCTGAAATCCTGTTTTATGTACCCGATATGATGTGTTGGAAGCAATTGAGTAATAAAGACAACATACTGGATTTGACTAGATTAAACAGAAATGATCCACTCCCACAGGATGTCCACAGTTCACCTCCCAGATCTACCGTGCGTTGTCACACATGTTCCGGGCGGTTCTGAGTACTGCCAGCATATTAACTTTATCCCCAAACTCCATCTCGCGGTGCTCCAGGCGAACGCCCTGGAAGAAAATAAACATAGTAAAACCCACAAGACCACAGAATTTATTTACACCTGTTCAAGAAATGTTAGCTTAGCTTACTTGTTCACCGGGTCCAATGACAAAGACACCACCCAAGACCAGGCCTTCACCTTTCATGTTCCCTCTGTAGCCTCTGCGATAAGCCCTCCAGATGTTCCTCCACACACCGATACGAAGGAACATGGAGAGAAACATCCATCGCTCTTGGGGGCCGTAGAAGTTTCTCTGTTTGAATCAGATAAATCGCAGCCTTTGGAAGTGAATATTGTAGCTTTTATAAATGGTTATTTCTGATATCTAAACTAAGATATCATCTCTCTTTCTCTGTCTGCATCTCCTATCTTTAGGTGGAATAACTGTGAACACACCTGCTGATCCACGTACACTTTCCCAGAGAAGAACCGTTTAAAGCAGTCCAGCTCCTTGCCTAGGTTTTCTTTCACCACGGCAAAAAGAGGCACCTCGAGTTCCTGCAGCTGGGACTTTAGAGAGGACAGCTCAGCAGCCTCCTGCAAAGACAGCACAGACAAAATCAAAAAGATCTGGTAAAATATGTCTTGTGTGAACGTACAGGGATGAGACTTCCTACCTCTCTGCACAACAATCATCCAGGTCGTCGAACTACCATAACCACTGCTCCTGTTTTCTCCCACAGAGTTTTGGCCTTGTGTCGTTCATGGACTGACAGAGGGAGAGAATCAACGCATTTATTATGTTCCCTGAGGCAAGTAGGAAAACTATAATATTTTATGTTTTTTGATGAGATTATTTTGAAATATCTATTCCTGACAGTCACAACACCTATCAAAGAGTCATGATTCATACTAATAAAATTAAGTCTTAGGTGTTCTTGCTGTATATAGAGGCTGAAGACTTTTCTGCTCCCTACATTAACCAGCAAAAATGCTACTTTCGTAGCAATAAAAAGTACATAAAATGTCAGGCAGCTGCTGTTGGTTGAGTTTCCTGCCTTACCACCCCCAGTAGTCTTTAGTTCTGTGTCTTCTAGAACTTCTAGTTTAGCCCATGCGGGTTTGGTCTGGAACCAGTCTGTGATGGAGCTGATGAGCTCTGCAACAAACAGGCTGAAGAACTTCAGGACCGCAGTGACAGTCACCATGACCACAGATGTGTCCCGCAGGCCACCTGTACAGAATAGTCACATTAATGTTTAGATAGAATCAGTACCGTACCATCCATATGGTATGAAGCATGAGACCCCACTGAAGTTTGTACTCACCAAACTGTGCCTCGGTGTTAATGTGGAGGATTTGAATGTTTTCGACCAGGCAGCTCTTTAAGCTCTCAGAACTCACATCAGTCCAGTCACAGTGAGAGAGATTTCCTTAAGATGACAGGAATTTCCTCAGACTGCTGAGAAACAAGGCTCCTGTTGAGCTGATTTCTCAGTACCAGGCTCAGCACGGTGCAAAAAAGAGTTCTAATCACTGAACAAATGCAGAACAAACACTCTTTATACTATTTTAATTCCAAATAGATGTCAAACATAATTTTAACACCTATTTTTGTTAATATATATATATTTTAATCTTCTGAAAGCTGCTAATATCTGTAAGTAATCACAAAACGTAGCTGTTCCATCTGTTATCTGGTTGAATCTCCTTCATTCCTCGTTCTGCTGAAAACATAATCAGGTGATTAGTGGAGGAAATAATAATTTCAAAAATGATAATTTGGGTAATTGCTATTTAAATGCAAATAATACCTTTTAGTTCAACTGTTGAGAATTTGGAAACACCAAGGGACACAATTATGTAAAAACATTTAAGTTAGTTATTTTCCAACCATTTAACAACACAGTATAACTTTTTTACACAAAAGTAAACCTAAAACATGTTTTTACTGTGGTCCGATACAAAAAAGGTATCCAATAGAAAAATATGTATACCATATATAAAACATCAGTAATATTATTTAAGATTCGTTTTCCACCAAAAGAAAGAAATTCGTGGGAACACTGACACCTGCTGCAAGTAAATGGCATTACAGTGCAGAACGCCAATGTCAACAATCTGAGTTAGTTTTTAATAGACAATCTTTTTGTGTATTATGGTTACATTTAGAGAAATGTTACTTAGATACGTTTGTAGATCATATTAGTCATCTAATAGAAGAAAATGCTTTGATGTTTATTATAAAAATCTTCAACCCCCAATTCATTGGTAGTATGACATTAATGTCACATTAAGAGTAAGGACAATTAGGACATGTTTAATCATTTGTCTGTACTTGCAGAAAAAAATGATCTCAACTACTTAATTTCCTGTATTTGAGTCCTATATCGCTGTGCCTTGTTTATAGTCAAAAAACAATTACATACATCACAACCTTGTTTACAACGCTGCATTACTATTTAAAGAACTCAAGTATCTTCAAAAATATCCCGTCTTTTTAAAGTGCGTCACTTTACAGCCACTGATAGAGGAAATAGCAAGTTTATAGGAGGAAACACCCCACCTCAGAGTGATTCTAGGAGTTCAAAGTGTGTGTGTTGGGGTGTTTAACCAACACTAAGACAATTTTTATGATTGATTCTGAAACTTCCACTGTGTTTTGTTGTCCTTGAGTGAATCTTTCCTTTGTGTTTGTAGATACCGGTTCACAGGTAATACAAAGACATCATCGAGATGGAAACAAACTGCATAACTGCTGTTGTGGTAATGTTTCACTCATTGGTGCGGAGGAATGTGCTGAGGATCCAAATGGGGCAGAGTGGAGGTGGTATAGTATGACAGCGTGTGAGCCCAGCTGCTGCTCTCTCTCCCTCTCTGACTCTTCTGCCCTGCGTGTCACTATACTAGGGTGACAGAATCACAAGATGACTTAGGTTATTTATGCCAGTGACTATATCTCAGAGCCACATGTTCAAATATTTTCAAATAATATACCGTAATACACACATATGTTTCAGTTTTTCAAAGCTGATGTTTTTGTTCCAAAATTGCAATGGTAACTTAGACTGCTCACTTTGCATCAAAAACCAAAATATTTCAATCACTTTCACTCAATGATTGCTGAACACCATTTGTGTGCAACTGGAAAATGCTTTAGTGTAACCTAAAGGAAAAGTGTGATGTATTTACTGCAAATAATTTATCTACAGTTATTTATTTCTCGGTCTTTTTTATCTTTGTGGTCTTTGGTCTCGGTCTCG